TGTACAGATTTCATTATCATATAATATAGTCATACGGAACAAATATATAATATTTAGAAAAAATTTTACATAAAATGTTTTACAAATCACATTAAAAAAATAAAATTTAAATAAAATATGTTTATATAATAAAGATACAGCTTTAACTTAAATGTAAACATAATGTTTTAAGATCTCTCTGTGTTCGTCATTTGTTACTTGTCGCTTATCATTATATTTTAACGAATATTAGATTTTTAATGATTAGCGTTTAAAAACATATATTGTTTCATAATACATATCATCTTAAGTCATTTTACAAAATGATATGTACAAGAAACATTCACTCTAAAAAAACATGTATATAATCATGATTACAAAATTGTACAATAAATATAATCAAAACTTTTTTTAGAACATTTTTCTATAAGAATCTTCTACTGTCTAATTTTTTTACTTAATTTAAAAATCTAGTTCAATAGATAAAGTTAGCTATAGAGCACTGATTTGATGCTATTATTAAGCGTCTAACTTATGTAGTTTTCATTCGAAAAATTCTTTTATATTTTGCAAGAAAAGGAGATTTGTTACATTTCTAACAACATTATCAATCGCTTAATTCTCGACTGCACACTTAACAAAGTAATGTAATAATGAATTCGTTGCGATCCTACAAATTCTTACTATTTTGCATCATATTATTTTGCAGTTAGAATGAATTATAAAATTTAGCTTACATAATAACGAAAAAATTAGTGTGTTAAAAAACAGAATTTGAGAGATATTTAGCCAAGCAAAAAGTGAGAATGAGTGATCCTTCAATTTCACCTCTGTCGAACGTGTTTTAGCACTGGCAGAAAAATGATCAATGTAGGCGACCAATTAAGTGTCAATCGAATACTATTGCTGGCAGTTGGATTATGGCCTTATCAAAAATCAAAGCTTGCTCAATTTTATTCGATATGCTGTTTTAGTATTCTGACAACTTTCATTATATTTCAGGTATGTTATAATGTTTTAATTATATTATTATATAATTGTTACAACACATCGTAATTTTATTAAGTTACTTTGTAAATTTTTAATCAATTTTATATTTCCTTAACTTTAAGAAATAGATTAATTTCTACATGACTGATCATAATAATAAACTATTTTATTAATAATAAGTTGGTAGAAATAAATAATTAAATTTTATTTTTTAGAATTATTTTATTTTTTAGATAAATGTTATAATATAACTGGAAACAAATTTATTGTTTTTATATATGAAATGTTAACTACCCGAAAAAAAATGGTATAATATGGTCAGATGTAAATATATATAATTAGTGATGAAAAGATCTGATAACAT